GTTCTGGAGACAGATGGTGGAGATGGTTGCACAACAGTGTGCTTAAAGCCACTGAAAATGATTAAATGGTAAATTTTATGTTATGTAAATTTTACTAGCAATAAAAACAAAACTCTTTGTCTATCTCTGTTATGAAAGCTGGGACTTTACCTTGTTCCCAGATCCTGGCACACAGTAGGTGCTCAGCAAATGGTTGATGAGTGGGTGAAAGAGGAAAGAGGTGATGGGTTGATGGCAGATGAAAAGAGAAATGGAGACAGAGAAACAGTGAAAGTGTGTTGAAGCCTGAAGCCAGCGCCTTCTCCTCATCTGTGAAGCATGCTTTAAAGCAGTGATTCTCAAGTGGGGGTGATTCTGCCTCCCCAGGGGGCATTTGGCAATATCTGGAGACATTTTTGGTTGTCACGATGGTGGAAGGGAGCGGGGAGATGCCACTGGCCACAGTGAGTAGAAGCCAGGGGCGCTGCTAAACATCCTGCGGTGCACAGGATGGCCCGCACAGCCGGGGATCACCCCGCTCCCGTGTCATCAGTGCCAAGAATGAGAAACCCAGGTTTAGAGACACCTCTTACTGGAAGCCCTCTTGGATTTGGCACACTCACTGCCTCACACGCCCCCTTCCTTTCTCCCCCTGGCAACACCAGGAGAGATTAAACAGGTGTTACTGCATCGAAGATGATTGTGCACGCGGGACTGTGCCAGGTGGCGAGGTTCCCTCACGTTGGCAGTTGGCTCCAGGCCGCGTCCCACGTTTTGCGTTTAGCGCTGCGGATGCGGTTCTGCTCCGCGCTGAGCGCAGGTTAGTGGTGGGGATCCGAGCATCCGTGCGGGCGTGGCGGGGGCGGAGTTGGTGTCGAGCTGGGGCTGGGGTCGGGTCCCGTCTGGGGACCGTGTAGGGTGGTCGTGGGACCCCAGACGCGTTCCCGTTGAGCAGGAATCCAGGACCGGCGATGGGCGATGGGCGATGGGCGAGGCGCGGCCGCGGCTTAGGGGTCGCAGACCTGAAAGAAGAACCGACACCGTCAGACCAGGGCCCACATCCGCACGGTTTCCTGTTTTTTCCCCTGAAGTGAGAGACGTGGGTTGATACCGCAGAGGGGAAGAGGAAGGGGGCGATCCCGTGACGGGGCCCCCAGTTGGGATTTTACCCCCAAAGCATCCTCTTGTCTGAACCGACTGCTGGCAGGACCCCGGCTGCGGCGCCTGGGAGCGCGAGGTAGGTCTGGCTGTGCACCCGCGCTGGCGCGAGCGGGGACCTGGGAACGCCGGATTCCAATCCACCTCCATCCTCTATCCAGAACCGGTCCCGTGTCCTCACTGAGGCCCAACAGGGCTTATTCCTAAACTTTCTCCTCCTCCTTACTGTGTCCTCATCGCTGGGACAGCCGCACTGTCCACCTAGACATTCGGCTGAGACTGTCATTTTTCACAGCACCTTCCAAGTACCCACTCCCTCGTTTCGCCCCTTACTAAGGCTCCTCTCTTCTCAAAGCGACCTGCTTCCTACCATTCCCATAGCCGCTGCTCTAAGCTACCTCCTCAGGCCCTTGGACCGGGTGACAGACCCCCCCCCCACCCCCGGTGTCTCCGGCCCTGCCAGGCCCTCCAAAAACAGCCTCCCAAGGTCTGTCTGGCCCCCATGAGAGCTCCCCGGATCCCACCCAGGCCTCCTGCTGTCCTTTGTCCACCCAGCGGCCCCCAGTGACCTCTCTCCGATGCTCACCTGCCAACTCTCTTCTCTATTTGAAATGGTCATTCTCTGTCACTTGGCAAACCATGCAATGGGTTCAAGGCCCCACAATTAGCCCAGATCAAGGTTAAAAGGGACACTTGGGGGGCCCAGAACGAGCAGCCCCAGCCCACCAGTCATTCATTCAATACACATATACGGAGGGTTATGCGTTCCCATGCTGGGGACACAGTGTGATGGACAAGGCAGCACTATCCCCGATGTTCTGGAGCGTACATTCCAGGGGACATTCCAGCCAGACCCCTATCCATCTGGCAGAGGGCCCGACTCTGTCCTGGTTGGGAGGTAAGGCACGGGGGCACACGTGGGCATCTTCCAGAGTGACACTGGGTGTCAAGCCTGTGTTCAGGTGGCAGCCCATCCAAGACTGGGGGGTTTGGCATTGTGCATTCCCCAATCAAGAGTGGGGTTGGGGTTAAGGATCAGGCGACGTGGTATCAGGAGGAAGAACAACGTAAATAAAGTGCCAAGACATAAATACAAGGGTAGCTGCCGTGCTGCCTGGGTTCAAATCCTTTCTCTACCACTTATGAGCTGTGTGACGTTGGGCGAATTACTTAATGTCTCTGTGCTTCACATCTTTCATCCATAAGACAGCATAGATAACAAAAGCATCTATCTCATAGGGTGATTGCGAACCTTAAATGTGTTCCTGCATCTAAGATGCTAAGAACTGTGCCTAGCACACGTTGCTACTAAATTAAACTTCTCGTGTGATCTCATGTATCTTTTTCTTCCCTCCCTCTTGCTCTCCCTCTCCTCTCCCTGCCCAGTCACTTTGGTTCAAATCCTGACTCTACCACTTGCCTCCTTCAACACTTTGGGGATGTGGGTTGGTGTCTCTGAACCTCAGTTTGCTGACCTGAGACATGGAGATAATAATAGCGTGGACTTCACCGGGTGGTGGATGCTCTAGAGGAGGTCATGCGTGTAACAGGGTTATCCGGGCGGTGAGCCCATAGTGAGGTCTGTGAGCATAGAAGCCGTGGGTGTGTCTGCCTTCAGAAGAAAGTGTGCCTCTGGGCTCAACTCCTTGCCACAGCTTGTGGCCTCTGCCGCCTCTCCAATCAGCCCCAACGGACCAGAAGGACAAAGACGCATTCAAAACTCATGTCAGTGAGTGTGAGTGTGTGATGTGTGTGAGTGTGCAACTGTGTGTCTGTGTGTGCCTCTGAGTGTGTGCCTCACGCACACGTATGTGACTTGGGGGGGGGTGTGCGCACGCGCGTGTGTGTGTGTGTGCGTCGGGGCTGGTGGTTGGAAGTGGACATTGGTTTCCTCGAAGAAACAAGCTCTGGCCTGAGTCTTGAGGGGTGACCAGGAGGAGGTCTGTGTGAGGGGAGGGCAGTGGGCCATGAGTGATAGGGGGCATGGACAAGATCTCTAGGTGTGCAGGACCTGTTTGGGCAAAGTGAAAGCCAGCCGATTGGCGTGACTGAACAAAAAAGATGGGGGACTGATGGTGGAGGGCCCTGGGAAGCCATGGAAGGTCGTAAGCAGAGGCAGGAGCTCTGGCGTTAGAAAGATGGTCTGGCTTTGGGACCCTGCTGTCCTGGCAGTTACTAGCGGACATCCACCTGGAAGCCATGTCCCCAGGGGGTTGAGCAAATAAGCTCCAAGGTCTCAGGTCCTGGGTCCCGGTCCCAGTCCCGCTACTGGGATGTGGACAAATCACTTACCCTCTAGTTTACCCAGCAGCCCACCACTAGGCTTCCTGCACCTTGCGCACCCCGTCGTACTGCATCCAGTGGAGTCAGCGCTGTCACTCACCCCCAGTTTACAGATGAGCAAACTGAGTCGCTCATCCAGGAAGAAGCTGGGACTCAGCCCAAGGTCTGGCTGGCTCGGGCTCAGGCATGTGCAGCTTCAGGATGGTGACACCTCTGGCCTCCTCAAGGGTGGCCCATGACCCAAGCTGAGCTGCTGGTACTCAGAGCCTCGCTGCTCCACATCTCCATTTCCCCAAGGCCCAGAGAAGGGAAGCAACTTGCCATAGTCTAACAGCAATAGGGGCAGCCAATGACCCCCAGGTTTGTCTGACCCAAATCCCAAGCTCTTTAGCACATAGTGGGTGTTTTAAAGTCAAGCGACTTTAAAAATGCCTTGAGAAGATTGACAGAGGAGGAAGCTAAGGCTTGGTGACAGAGTCTCTGCATTTCTTAGCAGGACCTGGCACAGAGTAGATGACTAATAAATGTTTAGTACCTGAAGACCCACTATGTGCAGCACTGTACCGAAAGCCTCACATACATTATACGTCATTTGATCCTATCAGAGCCTCACAAGTTGGGTATATGATAGCCCCCATTTTACTGAGGGAAAAATTGAGGCTCTGAAAAGTTGGGTCCTGGGCCCCGGCTGCACATGCAGTGAGAATAATAAGAATTGAGGATATTTGGGGGACTTACTATGTGCCAGGCCTTGTTCAAAGCATGTTACATGTCCACATAAAGCCGACCACTGCCCTACAGTACAGTATAGTATTATTAATATCACTTTATCTTTCATTGTTATTTTGAAAATAAAAATATATAATTTTGAGCCCTTACTAGATATCAGGTATTATTTACAGTGGTTTCAATAAGTATAACATCTCATTTTTAAAAATCTATTGATGACCTTATAAGTTTCCTCCTTTATTTTGTAAATGTGGTGAATTTCGTTAATTGATTTTTTCTTTTTTTTTTTTTAGTTAGGATTTGATGGGGATTAAGGTTATGTTCAGGGTTAGGTTTCAGTTGGGTTAGGGTTTGGTTTAGGGTTTAGGTTCAGCATGAGGAGTAACTAGTGTTAGGGTATGTTAAAGTGTTAGGCTTTGGTTTAGGGTCAGGAGCACGGTTGGATGAAGTGCAGGGGTATAGTCAGGTTTCATGTTTCACATAGGTTTAGAGCTAGCTTTATGGATCCGGATATGGTAAGGCTTTAGGGCCGGGTTTCAGTGTTAGTTTTAATGTTATGGTTAGGTTAGGGTAACCTCATCATTTTATAGATGAGGATATTGGTTTCGAGGTTCAGCCACTTGCTAAGATCATATGGGTGCATATTTATTGAGCACCTGCTGTGTACCTCACATGTGATGGGCTCTGGGGCACCTACCTCCAGTCTCAGGCCGTACCAGCTGCATCTCCCAGTTAACTGCAACACCGACTCCCAATGTGAACTAAAGTCACTAAGCTTCTCAAGCCCCAGATGGCATCTTATACCAGTAACTAGAGCCCGATATCTAACCTTAACCCTCATTAGAACCCAGATCTCGGCCGGAGCTGTGACTGTGCCTGACAGGTGGTGAGCATCCTGTCACTGGGAGGATCCAAGCAGGACTGCCATGGAGGAAAGTTCATACGCAGGTGAGAGGATCCACTGGAGCTGACACTGGCAAAAGCAAGAACCCTGACCTCCTACCTTCCACTTAGGAGAGGAGAGGGCTCTTGGGTCCTTTTCTGAGAAGAGTGAATTTTTAGGAAAGGCCCACTGTGGGGGATGAGTAAGCCCCAAGTTGCCTTCATGGCACAGAGCCAGGAAGAAAGGGAAGCCGAGGGCACCTCCCTTCTCTGACTCAACACCTTCCCAACAACAACAAAAAAAATCAGTTCCAGCTGGGGCACTGGGAGCCCAACAGAGTGGGAGACCAAGTGGGACGAGGACTCAGAAGGAGGGAGATTCAGCATAATGAAACCTCCCAGCCAGGATGAAGGGAGGGGGCCCAGGCCTGCAGTGGAATATCAAGGTAGAGTTTTGGGGAGCCCAGGAGCTGGGGTGAGGTCTGGGGGGTGTCTACCATCCAGGAAAAGAGCTGGGGAAGAGCTTGGATATGGCGGAAGAACTGAGACCCCGTGTCCTGTATTGAGGGACGAGGCCCAGAGTGGGACACGGGTGTCAGGGTGAGGGCTGAGGGGAGAGAGAACCCAGCCTTCTGGAGGTGAGGCTGGGGACTCGGCATTAGGCGGGGGTGGGTAGTTGAACCCACAAAAGGGAAGAAGGGCACAGGTGAAAGCTGGCTGAGGTCAGCCATCTGAGGAGGGGGCCCATGGAAAAGGGGGTGTCAACTCCTGGCCGCAGGCATATCTCTCTGGACAGTGACCTGGCCCCTGGGTCAGGCTTGCTGACACCTGGAGTGTGGGCAGAAGGAGTAGCAGACATTGGGCTGGATGGGTGGAGTGACCGACTCAGAGAGGTACAGATGCAGAGATGGACGTACGAAGTTCGAGGTGCTGACAGACACGAAAGATAGAGTGAGAGGAAGGTAGCTACCTTCTCAGAGGAGGCTGGGGGGCCACTGAGACCCTCTGCTTCAGTGCGGGCTCTGCATAGGCTGTCAGGACTTTAAGACTCTGGGCAATGGGGAAACAGGCAGAGCTGGAGCCCAACCTCACCCTACACCCCTTGTTGTTTGCCCCATTCCTGGCAGAGGTTTTCGAGTTTCACAGAAGTCAGCGGCAGTGCTGCAAGCTGGGGATGCAGATAGCGCTGTTGGGGCTGGTGACGGCCGCGCTGTGGGCCGGTCTGCTCACCTTGCTTCTCCTGTGGCGTGAGGACATTCCCAGCCCCGCGTGGTCCCCTTCTCGTGTTCCCTCCAGACCCCCACTCAGATCCCAGGGAGCCCAGCCCACCCCTTGGAGCCCAATTCCCCCATCGCGTCTCCCACCTTGTCCCCCTGGCCCCTTCTCATGTCCCTTCCTCCGCTCTCAAGAGGCCACGCCCCTTGCGCTTGCCTATCTCCCATCTCCCACCCTTTGGGCACCTCCCACATGATATACCCAAGGGCGCCATCCCCAGATGGCAGGGGGCAGGGGGCAGGGGCATCTGAAGAACCCTTTCTCTCCCATTCTCTTCTCTCCTGCCCAGACTGGGACACTGTACAGAATCTGAAACACCTGGAAGAGACCGCTGCCCGGAATGGTATGGAGGGACCAGGGTTGGAGAAGGGGGCCAAGACACCAGGCTCTTGTCCTCCTTCTGCCACTGACCACTATGGGACGTGGGAGGACTGGGCTCCAGTGTCCCCCAAGGAACGGAGGGTCAGCCTGTGTTTCCTCCCTCCCTGGGTAGGGGAAAAAAACCCATCAGCTCTTGGAGGAGAGAGCTCTGGGGAGCATCTGATGGAATGTTATGGAAGGACTCAGTGCCTCAGCTTAGTCACCTGTAGAATGGGCATCATTTCAGTGCTGTGAGGTAGAGACAAGCTAAGTCTTTCGAAGCACTTAGAACACACCTGGCATCAAGTGAGCTTTCAATAAATGCCTGCTATTTTCATATTTAATTTTGGGTCGGGAAAAGGTACACTAATTCATTCTATTCTTGCCTGCATTTTCCTGAATACTTTTGCCTCCAAAATTAAAAAGTTGTAACCCTTGTGACTACATGAGGGGGCCCCTGCATTTGGGGCTGCGGGGAGGGGTTGGGGACTCAAGGACCTTCCTGCCTGGCTCCCGAGGACACATCTTCTCTCCCAAAACCTACCCCAGTCTCTCAGGTTTCCGAGGCCTTAGAAAATCACAAGGGTGACCAGATGGCCCAGAAATCCCAGGGTGAGTGACCTCAGCTGGGAGTCTGGGGGAAGGAGAGGAGGGAGGACTTGGATGAACATGTGGATATGATGCTCCAGACCACCTATGAATTACAAAATGAGCAGGTGGCCCTATAGCCCCAGGTTAAGGGGCCAAGGGGGCCGGTGGGCAGAATGGGGGTGTCCCTGAGGGACTTACCATTGAGCTCCCTCCCCTGCAACCAGCTGCCCAGATGTCACAGGACATGGAGAAAATTCAAGCAGAGCAGAAAAGAATGAAAGCTCAGGGTGAGAGATCGGGGTGGGTGGCAGGGTGCCAGAGCCATGGGGACCTTGAGGCCCACAGGCATCGTTCCTGACACCTGTCCTGCCCTCCCATCAGACTCTGAGCTCTCCCAGAATCTGGATGGACTTCTTGAAGACCTGAGCAACCTCAAGTCCCAGGGTGAGGCTTGAGAGGGGCCAGAGGTAGGGAGGGACCAGGAGGGGCCCACAGGTTTGTCTGTGACCGCTGTCCCCATCCGACTGCCCAAGGCTTGAATGAGAGACGCACAGCCTTGAATTCATTGGAAAGACTCCAGGAGGAGGTGGCAAAGCTGTGGATAGAGCTTCGAGTGTCCAACGGTGAGTGTGTGCGTCTGTGCCCATGAGTGTGGGTATACGTGTGTAAAATACAGATGTGTGGTGCTGTGTGTTCGAAGGTGTAGCAAGTGTGTGTGTGGTAATATGAGCAGGTGTGTGCATGTTGCAGAGCCAAAGGGGGACACATGAGAAAGCTCTGAGTCTAACTGCTCCCCCCACACTGATCTGGGGTGAAGGGGTCCCTCATGTTTTCTCTCCAGGTAAAAACTGTTCTCATTTCCCACCACTGGGTTCTCTTTCCTGATCTGTCCTCTACCTGTCATGGCTCAGCCAAGGGTCGAGGGCCATCAGTAGGGTGCCCTCAGCCACAACTCCCCCGGAATGTTGTCTGATCCAGCCAGAGGGCCATAGAGGGGATGACAGGAACTGTAGCACTTTCGCCAGGGGTGGCAGTGATAGAGGCAATGCTGGCAGGTACGAGGGTCATGGGGGTGGCCCCAGAAGGCTGCAGAGAGGGCAGACATTCAACCACTGTGCCTTTAACCTGAAGTCCCACTGCACCCCCACCCCCACCCCCACCCTTGATGTTTGGTCTGCCCCGCTGGGTGAGAGGAGGGAGGATCTGTGTCCCCGGGGCCCAGCGTGGAGATTCCAGCAAGAGACCCGAGTGGTCCCCTGGGGATGCTGGGAGGATGGAGCTGGGCCGCACTCACTCTGATGGGTCGCCAGCTCTGCGGCTGTCTCTGAAAACCACGGGACGCACAGCCATGACAACTTCCCCAAAGTTTTCTTGAAGGAACTAGAGATGTTCTGTTCCTTTTTAGCATGGCACCCCAGAAGGCAGTACACTGTTGCTATTTCATGAGTAAGAAGCACACCTAGCTCTGCTCCTCCCGGGGCATCACAAACTTCTGTGGACCCCAGGCTCCTAGAAAATTTCACTGACACCATAGAGCTGTCTCTGCACATCACTCTTAAGAAAATCTATTGTAAATCACAAGTGAGTGGACCCAGTAAGAGTGGGTTCACCTTCCCACCTGGGACTACTGGTGGTGCTGGCAGCGCCTGAGAGTTTTCCTGGGGTGGGAGCAAGGGGAGAGAGAGACCGAGGTGGCCCTGGGTCGAAGCCGTGGGGACCCAGCCCCCCAGTCCCCTTCCCCATTCCCACAGGCTCTCCTGACCAATGAGGAGGAAATCAACTCAGTATCCCAGAACGTGGCCAAGGGTGCTAGTTTGGGGTGCTGGCAGTGATGGTGGCCTGGGCTGTCATTGAAGCAGTTGATGGGGACAGTACCGGGGAAAGTAATGCTGGCGGTCCTGGTCTCAGCATGGCCATCAGCACTGGTAATTAAGACATGCTGGTGTGGTGTTGGTGGTGGAGAGATGTTGCTGGCAATTGTGATTAAGACATGCTGGTGTGGTGTTGGCAAAGGTGATGTCGGCCATGGTGTTGGTGGTGGAGAGATGTTGCTGGCAATTGTGGATGATGATGCTGTGGTAATATTGGTGATAAGGTGTGGCTGACAGTGGCAGTGTTTGGGGCCATGGTGTTGGCAGTCGAGGCGCTGTTGACTACAGAGGTCTTGGTGGGAATGCTGTGAGCAGTCACAGTGTGTCTGACCGTGAAGCTGTTTGTGATGAGGACACTGGTGGCTGAGGTGCCGCTGGCCATGGTGCTGATGATGTGGTAATGGTGTGGGCTGCGGAAGTGCTGCTGGCCAGGAGGTGTCTGATGACCCTGTCAGAGGCTGACGCTCTGCTCACAGCGGAGGCGGTGGTGACGTCTGTGGTGACGTCTGTGGTAACAGCGTTGGCGCCTGCAGTGCTCCCTTGGTGGAGCTGGCCTTGCACGTCAGCATCGGAGCTGCAGGGAGGAGGCTGCCTGCGACACTGTTAGGCTCGGGGGTGGGTCTGCTTTCAGCCTGGATGCCAAGAGTGACTCCGGGAGAGACACTGCCAACTACTGTGCCCACTGTACCCATGCTGCCCACCATGGCGCCCACCACGGCGTCTGCCACATCAGCCATGCTGCCCACCACGACAGCAGCCACAGCACCTGCCACAGTGCCAGCCATGGCACCCACCCTGCCACCCACCACGGTGCCCACCACAGCTGACCCCCTGAGCCTCTCCTCCACCCCAGGCTCCACGTGTAACATGTGCCCCGAGAAGTGGGTCAATTTTCAACACAAGTGCTACTACTTCGGCAAGGGTGCCAAGAGGTGGATCCAGGCACGGGAGGCCTGCAGCAAACTCCAAGGGCGGCTGGTCAGCATCCACAGTCAAGAGGAACAGGTGGGCCTGGGCTCTGCACAGGGTGTGGCCAGCATGGTGGTCAGGGGGGTGGTGGAGCCTCACCCCAACCTCTTGAATGGCGAAAGGGCCCAGGAACCCCTCCCAGCCCACCCACCCTGTCCTGCTCCCTAGGATTTCCTGGCCAAATACATCAACAGGCAGGGCTCCTGGATTGGCCTTCGGGACCTGAACATAGAGGGGGAGTTTGTGTGGATGGACCAGAAACCGCTGAACTATAGGTGAGAAGAGGGGACACAGAGGAGATGGCTCCAGGACCAGACTCAAAGAGGGGGACCTCTCCATGATGAGGGGAGGGTATATGGGGGCATGTGCCCCAGGTCCGGACTTGGGGAGCTTCTGGATTGCAATGGCAGATGGTCAGGCTTTTTTGTTTTGTGTTTAACCACAGCACTAAGTTTTATTAGGGATCTCATTAAGATAAAATTTCTAAGGCTGCACGGAGATGGGGTGGGGATCCAGGGATGCGGTGAGGTGAGCCCAGGCTCAGAGGGGTGTGTCTAGGCTGAGGCAGTGGGGCCCCTTCCCGCTGCTTCATCCTCTGACCTGAAGCCTTCTGCTCCAGCAACTGGCGGCCCGGGGAGCCCAACAACGGGGACCAGGGCGAGGACTGTGTGATGATGCTGGGCTTTGGGCAGTGGAACGATGCCTTCTGCAACAACTACCTGGACGGCTGGGTGTGTGACCGGCTGGCCACGTGCTGAGTGCCCACCTGCCCCCTCAGTCCAAGACATAGATCCTGACAGCCCCCTTCCTGCCAGCCAGGTTCACCCCTCTTTGTCTCTCCCCCACCTCAAATATGGTAATGGTCAGGCCCAGAATGGGACCCTGAGGACCCCCGACCAGAGCCTGGGTGCCTCTTTTGTGGCTGAAGTGTCTTGGTGACATTGTTTCCTGCCCAAAGGCAGCTGACCTATCCCTGGCTCTTGCCAACACCCCAGAGGACCTGTTTCTTGTCCCTCAGCCCAAACTCCCTGCTTTCAAGTGCTTAGAGTTCCCACCTCGAGAACCCCACCTGCCAACCTGAATGCCGGCAGCACTCCCTACAGGGGAGCAATCTGGTCCTGCAATCTGGTCCCCGACCCCCAAGCAGATCCAGAAAGCCACTCCCAGGTTCCCTGAGGACCTCAGGCTGCTACACCCTGCTACATGCCTGCAGCCTAACTTTCCAGGGAGCGGCGGCAGCCACCCTGGACTCATGTGCTTCCACACTGCCCCCTCCTCCCTGTCTGCTGGAGTCAGGAGCGGACCCTCCCTCATCCTCCCCAGATGCGGCCCGTGTCCTGGCACCGCAGGACCCACCCTGGCTCATATGGCTAGGCCTCCCTGCCAGCCTAGGACGACAACAGCCCCTCACCCCTCCTCAGAGGTCTCCAGGTGTGGAAGGTGGGAGCTGGGAGTCCCAGAGCCTGGTGCCTGAGGCCACCTTTGAGTATCAGGAACAATTAACTGAAGTGGCATTTGTGCCTCTCCACCTTTTTTCCCCCCTACTTCTTTACAAGAAGCATTCACTAGGCAGAGCTAGAGATGGAGACTCTGGGTCTAGTGAGCGGAGAATCCCAGGAGTATTGCAGGGCAAAGCAGTGGATAGCCCTGAGCCTAGTTCCCCAGCCCGGGCTGCTGGGGAAAGAGCCTGAATGACCACAGACGAAGTGGTCAGAATGGGCCCAGTACACAGAAGGCACTCAGTGCTAGCAGAATGCAGAGACCGATGGGGAGGTGGCCTGGTCACCTGGCAGCCAGTTCAGATCGAGGTCCCGGCACCACTCCCACTTAGGGTCCGGGTGGCTGAGGCAGCACCAGCCCTGGGCTTGGCCAAGGTCAGCTCTACATCTGAGACAGGAGGGAGGCAGGCCAGGATCTTAGGACATCCCACCCTCAATACCGGGCCTAGAGAAGAGCGAGACGTGATCACGTGATTCTCAGGTCCCCTGGGGAGGAGGGGCTCCATAGGCAGATGCCCACGCTGGACCACCTGGGATCCCAGGAGTAGAGGCCAGCCACAGCGCAAGCGAGGGGGGGTGGGTTGAGGAAGGTGCTATAGTGGCACCTGGGAGTCCTGGGGTTCAGGACAAGGTGGGGACAGAGCTGGGCCCTTGGAGTGAAACCCAGGTTGGAATCCCAGATCTTGTTATCTCTACCTACTGCCCACCCCAGATTTATCTCCCCCAGAAACCTCCTCAGCACTCTGGGCCTCTCGTTTACCTAGCTCACCACGTGAGGAATACATAGCTCCACTCTACCAGTCCCTCAGGCCAACATTGGGGTC